CAGCTGAGCCGCCACACAGGAAGTGATTCCTTTACGAGGCAGCTGTCAGCGAAGCTTGGCCGACGATGACTCGAGCTTATGTAAGACATGAGCGTGAAGCGTCCCACACGCCGTGAGATCGTCTGACTCACTGCCCGCCATCCTTCACAGGAGGAAACGCTCACCTGCACCACACATGCGCAGCAGGGATCGATACACTCTGATGTTATAACGCTGCAACAAAACATCTGCTGGAAGTGCAAACGAAGAGAATTCAGCCATTAAATATGATCGCATCGATCGTTTTGGCGTTTGTTATTTCAGCAGAAGCATCAGAGTCGCTCCTGCACCGAGGAATGAAGACTTTACTCCAACAGAACAGAAGTTAGAGATGCGTTCTTCTTCTACTACTTGTGCGTCCATTACGGTAAACATAAATTACAACCAAAAATACCAAGGTGAGCACACAGTCATGCAAACAGGTTTCCACAGAGGCCACATAGCAGATCAGCGCTTACAGTCAAACGACCACGAGCTCCTCTACAACGTAACGTAGAGTCAGCGTGAGGCCGTCTGTCCATCCTCCACAGGGATGAGACAGATTGATGAGGAAACATCACTGCAGGTTATCCCTCCTACAGAAGGGGCTTCACGCTGGCTCGTTGCATCAACCATTCAGTTCTTTCAAACTTATACTTTCATGAAGGTGGGCCCTGATATCATTCAGCACTGTGACCATGACGGTGCTCAGCGAGGACAGGTGGGATTGTGACCCAAGACACACGAGGCACTCGCTGGGAGGCAGCCGAGCTTCGCGCCGTTACGATTGTTGGATCTGATCTGTGAGCGGTGAAAACAGGAAGCCCAACAGGAGGCTTCTTTTCACCTCCACGTCTGCAAACGCAGCTCTGACCTCGCTGGTCCTACAGGGAGTCGAGGTCTTTGGGAATCGGACGTCTCTGAGTCTGGATGCAAAACTTCACCCTTGACTGAGTGAAAAGAAGGACTGTGCTAATGACGCTAACCCAGCTGGTTTTGTAGGATGACTCTCAGAAACAAGCAAAGAGCGTCACAGGCTACGTTTGTCTGTTATTAAAAACACGTTTAGTGTCAGTGATCCGGAATAATGGGAGGTATATGAGCCATTTTATTTTCCACAGGATAATAAACTGAAGAGGCAGTGGACACCAATAATCTGTTGCTCAAACTTTAATTAAAAGGGATGTTTGTTTTTTTTATTTGTGTTTAAATTTTCAAAATAAACTAAATCTGTCATCAGAAGGCAGCTATGATGTTCTGTTTTGGACATTACATCAGCTGAAAGTGAAGGCAGCACTTTATCCGACTCTCTGCTCTTCAACTCTGAGAGCACCAAAAACTCCTGCAGCACGAACACTACTAAACATTTTAAAGTGAAAATGCTTTTGTTGCCTTTTGAATGCTTTGACTCACTTTGCCACTGCAGATATGTTGAATTCATTTTTGAACATGACCTCTGACTGTAGGTATGCAGACCTCCCTCTTTTAAAGCAGGATAAAGAGCCCTGCATGCTGTCCCACGGAGGCTCTGCTCCACGCTGAAAGGAAAACACCGGCAGGGTCTCGGTTTAAGGTTACAGCTTTTAAATCTGCGCACAAACGTTTCGTGACTGGACGGGATCACGCAGCGTGCACGCGCCCATTATCGGACACGTTTAACTGAACACAC